GGGGGGGGGCCGAGGGGTGTGCCCGTGCGTGTGCACGTGCGTGCGTGTCTGTGTGTGTGATGTGTACACGTGTGCGTGTGAGCACAGGGCGCGCAGGGCGGCTTGCTCGTCAGGGACAGAGAGTCCTCGGTGAGTGGAACGCTCGAAGGAAGCGGAGAGTATGTATGTGTGTGCGTTCGTGTGCCAGTCCCTTGTCAGGTGTGTGAATGGCCTCAAACAGCAAGGGTATTTGGGGCTCATGTTTAGAGGGATGAGCACAGTTGGTCTGTGTTCTGAGATCCCCGCTCTGCCTTGGGCGGAAATCCGCCTGGACTGCCTGGCCTTAGCTGCACCCCTCCAGGAGGTGGGTTCTTGCAGACGGCACGGTAAGTACAGTGTGTTGTTAGCTTCTGAAGGTTTGCTGCCTCTTGACTGAGATGGCCCCTGTTCTGTCGTGCAGGCTCAAATGTCATTTTCTCCCCTGGTTTCCGCGTTAATGACGCCGTCTCAGCCCTGGCGGTTGACCTTGTTTCCTCTCTGGGTCTGAGACACATCAGATGTTCTCAGCAGGGCGGGCACCCGGTTTCTGACACAGCCTCTTGTTGGTTGGTTGGTTTTGCTTTTTAAGCCGTGTAATCCTCAGTACATCTCTGCCTCAGGCACCCCTGAGTTTATTTCTGAAAAGCTTTTAAAGCACTTAGGAAGAGAACGGAAAGGGAAAAGACCCGTTGTTGAGAGAGAGGAGTTTGTGTGTGTGAGCAGAGTGGGCGGCATGAGGCCTCTCGACTTGGAGGAGGTTGGTTTCCAGCACAGATTCGGAGGTCTGTGTTTCAGGTGTATGGCCGAGCCCGTCTGGGGGAACTGGGCTGTGTCACGCGAATTAGCCTTTTTGTGTTTTCATTGTGGAGGTACTACTAAACCGGTTTTGTCGATCCTGCAAATACACCTTCCAGAGTGAGTCCCCCGGAAAGGAGAGTTTTGAAGATAGAGTCCAGCGTAATTTACTTTGTATTGGTTCCTGCAGACTTCAGTTTAATTTTTAATTTTTTTTTTTTTTTTTTGGCTGCATTGGGTCTTCGTTGCTGCGCGTGGGCTTTCTGTAGCTGCGGGGAGTGGGGGCTACTCTTCGTTGCAGCGCGTGGGCTTCTCATTGCGGTGGCTTCTCTTGTTGCGGAGCACGGGCTCTAGGCGTGCAGGCTTCAGTCGTTGTGGCACGTGGGCTCAGTAGTTGTGGCACACGGGCTTAGTTGCTCCACGGCATGTGGGATCTTCCTGGATCAGGGAACGAACCTGTGTCCCCTGCATTGGCAGGCGGATTCTTAACCACTGTGCCACCAGGTAAGTCCCAGTTTAATTTTTTAAACGCAACCTGTAAGACTGGTAAGCTCGTGCTATGTACTGTAATTGTTGTCTTCTGAAAAGGTTGATGCCACAATAAGTAAGTGCACAGTCAAGGTTCCTGTTGACTGATCTGGGAGGAGCTCGAGGCCCCAGAAGTGAGTTTCCCCTTCAGAGAGGCGGGCAGATGTGATGGTGGTGGAAACTGGCCCCCCTGATGGTGGCGGCAGGTCGTGGAGTCGGCGGCGCCTGCCCTGTGCTTGGGCAAGCTCACGGGGCCTGAACGTTAACTGCATCTGAAGTCTGAATACTGAACTTTTCTTTTCTTTCTTTTTTTTTTTAAAATTTTAATTGAGGTATAGTTGATTTACAATGTTGTGTTAATTTCAGGTCTACAGCAAAGTGAATCAGCTATACGTACATATATCCCCTCTGTTTTACATTCTTTTCCCATATAGGCCATTACAGAGTATTGAGTAGAGTTCCCTGTGCTACACAGTAGGTCCTTATTCATTATCTATTTTATGTATAGTAGTGTGTGTGTGTCAATCCCATTCTCTCAATTTAGCCCTCCCCCCGTTATCCCCTGGTAACTGTAAGTTTGTTTTCTATATCCGTGAGTCTACCTCTCTTTGGTAAAGAAGTTCATTTGTACCTTTTTTTTTAGATTCCACATATAAGCGATGCCATAAAGACAAATATCATATGATATCGCTGAGGTTTTCTTATCGAGAGTTGGTGGTTTCTGGCAGGACATCACATTAAGTTGTTCTAACGTGAGGTCAGCTCCGTGCACAGATCAGGGCGGAGGCTTCAGAGAATCGGGTCCGGAGCACTTCCAGCCCTCCTGAGAGAAACTCAGAGGAAGCACCGGTTACCCGATCACAGTAGGAGGTGATCAAGGGACAGGTACGATCCAGAGTCGAGGAATATTGTCTTGATTTAGGAACGTTGGGTTGGAAGAGACGTCTTAGAAGGGAGAGGGGTGAAAGCAGCCCCCCGGTGTGGAGACAGTGCCCCCACGTCCTTCTGTCCGGATCTGGCGTAGGGGACAGTCCTTGGCAGAAGGTAGAGGGACATCGCTGGCTTAGGGAGGACCTGTCGCTTTTCCATGGGACAGACACATGCAGGCAGTGGTCACTGTCTGATCTCGGGACCAAGTCCTTTTGGAGGTGGAGGGGGACTTGCTTTATCTGGCCTCCATCCCAGAACTTGAACGGTGTCACATCTGTCTCGCATTATTAGAGAAAAAGCCAACTTTTTCGAAATCATTGAAACATTAATTGTTTATATTTTATTTTAACCGTTTTTTATGGGAGCCTTTCCAAATATTTTTCCTTCCGTTTTAACTTAGAAAACCAAGCTACGACAGCTCATCGTGTGCTGGGGCCATTGATTCCCAGGGCAGAGGGAGGGGTTTCTTTGCTGGGACCTGGTCAGCTCTGCACCCGCGGTGGCACTGACTTGGGCTGAAGGCCGCCAGGTGGCCCGAGGTTGCGCAGGGCCGCTTGTGTCCTGATGGACCTCGCCGTGACGTGGCACTTTCTGCTGTTCGCGTGCCTGCCTTGTGCCAAAGGCATGCTCAGGGGACTCTCAGGCGTGTCGCTGCTTTTCCCCTGAAGAGCCGTGACAGAGAGAGGCCGGCTGCTCTGTCTTCCTGCTCGTAGCCGGTCCGTGCTCGGCTCGTCTGCAGCTGCGAGGGGCCGTCCGGACGTACAGATGGACAAGTCCATCGCCTATTCCTTTTCTGCCGTCCGCTGCCTCTGCTTCCTGCCACTGTCTCCCTGTCTCGTCTCCTCCCCTCCTTTGTCTTTTTTTCTGTTCATTTTGGCATCTCTAAGGTGAGAGCCTGGCCTCCAAAGCCACCGCCAGGCCGGTGTGAGCCCTTAGCTTCATAATCTTGCACAGTTCTGGGTCAGCGTTCCTGCCGGACTCAGAGGCATCCCCATTTAATTTCCTTTCCTTCCTTGTGGTCTTTGGGCCCAGGGCTTGCCTTGGGTTGAGGTAACTGCAGGACCTCCTCTGTAAGCACAGCTTTTTTAGAGTGCATCTTCAAGATGTGTTTCGTTTTTAAAATATCCTGAGTGATTCCAAGGTAAATAAGCTCGACTCTTGCTTGATATTTTGCATTTAAAAATATTTCATATTTTTCTGTTTTGAAAAGTAAAAATATACCCAGCTCTGAGTCCCGGGAAATCTGTGCTTGCGGGGGATGGATGCGGGGGGTGAGGGAGGGAGGGATGTGCATATTTCAGAAAAGCAAGTAAAACTTTGGCATATCCTGCAATATCCCGGGTCAGTGATATGCTGGGTGTTTCCGAGGTATCTGTTAGACATGTTGTATCAGTCAGTGGATGAACCGGAGCGCCCTGCTTTGTCTGTCCTTCCTGTCCTGAATCTGAACATCGACTGTTCATCTTCTCTCTCCCCCTCCCTTGCCCTCCTCCCTCACCTGCAATTGTCATTTATCCTCAGCAGCTAAAGATGAAACGGTGTGGCTTCTTATTCTCCACATTTAACCATCATACCTCCACCTGCTAATCCAAACCTCATTAAATCCAGCAAATTCAAAATTCCTACCTGCCTTCTGATGCTCATCGTAAATCCTTATATATTTGTTCAGTCTTATCCTGTGGATATGGTTAGGAAGCTGTACTTACGATGGAGAATAACCAGTAAGTAGACTTCTGTGTGCTCTGTAAGTGGTCAGTGTTATATTTCTTCCGTTACTATAGAAAGTGACAGGTTACAACTAGGATGAGGTCTGCAAAGCATCAGCCTGTGGTATAGGAAGGCATTTTTCTCTGTAAGACATTAAGGATCCCAAAGAGAGCATCTGTTTCACCTTATTTATTGTGTCCAACAGTAGTATTTAGATACTAATTTTTTGTCATACAGCACATTCACGTGTGAAAAGACTTGCTAAAGATAACTTACTGTATATATTGGCCACACGAACAGTCTATTTGAGTTTCACCTCTTACTCTTTTTAAAAAAAAAAAATCTATTAAAATTATTTGGCCAGGAAGAAACAGAATAGAAGGATTAGCATAGTTCCTTGCTATATTTTTCAAATTGCATTTCTTATAGTAATTGGCACTTTTTTTTTTTTTTGCGGTACGCAGGCCTCTCACTGCTGTGGCCTCTCCCGTTGCGGAGCACAGGCTCCGGTCACGCAGGCCCAGCGGCCGTGGCTCACGGCCCCAGCCGCTCCGCGGCACATGGGATCTTCCCGGACCGGGGCACGAACCCGTGTCCCCTGCATCGGCAGGCGGACTCTCAACCACTGCGCCACCAGGGAAGCCCTGTACCTGTTGTTTTTAACAGCACACACCCACAGGCAGACCCGGAGTGAGGGACGGGGGGCTACCGCCCCAGCAGGTGCATGTGGGCCCTTCCGGCCGGTGTTCTCTGCCCTGGTTGTGGTTTCTTCCCCTGGTGAAGAGGAAGCACCTTGTGGAACGAGGTGAGAAGCCTGGACAGAGGGAGGAACGTTTGCATTCGGCTCTGGTCGGCGCTTGCTGAACATTTCTTTCTTGGAGGCAGGTGGGCCCACCTCTTCTCTCCCCGCTGCCAGGGGTCTTCACCGCGTGTCCTTTGGAAACAGTTCCTTGGCGACTTGCAGAAGAAATTC